CAAAACCTCCAACAACTGGTCTCCTCAGGTCCTCCAAAACCTCCCAACAACGGTCTCCTCAAGTTCTCCAAAACCTCCAACAACTGGTCTCCTCAGGTTCTGGATGTTAGGAAACTAGGAACTGGAAATATTTAAAATAGACGTGTTATTGCCAACAAAATGACGTCATTATCTTTTCTCAGTATTGTTCAGATTAAACAGTTGACATGTGTTCTGATACTTTGTCAATAAATTATGGCTTAATGAAATTTTCAAATCACTGCATTCAGTTTTTCTTATTTTTATTTTACAGAACAATCCAACATTTTCATCCCGAGGTTGAAGACAACTTCTTGCTGCTTTGGATTTAAAATCCTTGTTGCTGTTTCTGTCTCGTTGTTTAAGCCTTTAACCACAGCGCAGTTCATGGTCTCTCTAAAATCAGATTACGATTCAAAGTCCACCTGAAACGCTTCATCCAGACATCAAACACTGAAAAGCTGTTTTTCCGTCTGTTTTTCATTTGGAAACCTAAAAGCAGCAGAATGATCCGGAGTTATGTCGGTGTTTGACACGCAGTCGTTCTGTATTCACCTGATGTTCTCTTCTACCTTTAAGTCTTTTGATGCGGCTCGCAGCAGATTTTGCGTCTTCAACCAGAATATTGGTTATTTCTACCAGAGGCCCGTCCGTTGCCATGGGAACAGCTCTGTCCTTTAACGCAACAACGACTGGACGGCTCGGTGCTGAATCCTCGCTGACCTTGGGCAGATCGTTCAGGGAATTAACCAGGTTTTTAATAAAACCGACTGCAGACACACTTTCAGATGATATCTCACATGTCCTCTGAAGCTCTAATTACTTTTTTTACGTCTTTGTTGAAAAGCAGCTGGAAGATGTAACAAACATTTTAAACTTGATTTTTTTGACATTTCCAGGGTTTTTGCTGCTTTTTTAAAAAAAAACATGTTAGAGAGTGAGAGCATAAGAATTATTTTCTTAAAGGGAGCTCCGACTAGTTGGAACAAAACACATCATTTGATTTTAAAAAATCTTCAGCTATTAAAAAAATTAAATAGGATTGGAAAAATACTGTAGGCTGTGCAGTTTTTACAAAAACGGACACATGGATGTTGCTATTTACATTACCATGCATTCTGGTAAATGAACGGTTGCTTTGGCACAGCTACATTCAGCTTCAACGTTAATTTGGGGAATTATCAGACGTTTAGCCATTTAATCTGAGAAGCCCGTTGACCGAGAGGAGCATGAAGATATTACTCAGCTTTCACGTTAGTTCCACAGCTAATATATGATGCTAACTGAGAAGCTAATAGCATTAGCGCCAGAACTAATATACATCGATGCTTGAAAGTTTGTGAACTCTTTATAATTTTCTATATTTCTGCATCAACATGATCTAAAACATCTTCAGATTTTCACACATGTCCTAAAAGTAGATCAAGAGAACCCAGTTAAACAAATGAGACTAAATATTAAACTGGGTCATTTATTTATTGAGGACAATGATCAATATTAAATATTAATGGTCAAAGTCTGTGAACCTCCAGGATTATCAGTTAATCTGAAGGTGAAATTAGAGTCAGGTGTTTTCAATCAATGATGATGATCAGGTGTGAGTGATCACCTGTTTGATCTAAAGAACAGGATCTATCAACGTCTGATCTTCACAACATGTTGGTGGAACAACTCTTTTTCTGAGGAGCTCAGAAAAAGAGTTGTTGATGCTCATCAGGCTGGAGAAGGTTACAGAACATCTGTAAAGGGTTTGGACTCCACCAATCCACATCACACAGATGTTGTGTAAATGGAGGAAGATCAAGAGCATTGTTCCCTCCCCAGGAGTGGTGGACCAACAAAGACCACTCCAAGAACAAGGTGTGGAATAGTCAGTGAGGTCACACAGGGTAACTTCTCTCTCACTGACTGATGCTGATGTTCATGAATCCACCATCAGGAGAACTGAACAATGATGGTTCATGGCAGCTTGAAGGAGAACCCACTGCTCTCCAACAAGAACATGCTGCTCGTCTGCAGTTTGTTAAAGATCACGTGGACAAACCAGAAGACTGTTGGAAGAATGTTCTGTGGAGGATGAGACAAAATAAAACTTCTTGGTTTAAATGAAAAGAGTTCTGTTTGTAGAAAGGAGAACATCATTCCTGCAGAAGAACCTTCTCCCATCTGTGAAACATGGTGGTGGTAGCCCAACATTTTTCAGTCAGGTCATCTGGACAGTTTCTTTTTGTTTCACCTTCCATCCAGAAGGCTTCATCAGTCAAGGAAACACAAAACTGATTCTTCCCCCAACAGCTTACTCCAAAGTGGAACAAACCAGTTATGTTGGTGCTAAGATGGTGTCTTTAGAGACCATCTTAGCACGACCCACAAATATTTTAGAAATATGAGGAAGGACAACTCCAAAGATTGAGCAGAAACATTCAGTTTAAAAGTTCTAAATGATCTGGATCAGGTCCGGTTTGTAAATGTTCCTGAGAAAAAAGCCAGGTGTTACCTCGGAGGAGCCCAGTCGTGTTTCGTGCAGTCCAACAGAGTTCCCACGTAGGTCCGTTTCCTCCAGGTCACGTTCACCACCAGAACTCCTGCCAAACAACAGGTCTGCTGTCAGTACCGGACTGAAAAGAACCAGTACCAGCTCTAAACACCAACTTTAATCTGACAGTGAGTTCTTCATCCCACAAAGGTTTAATCACTTCTTCAACTGTTCACAAGACCCCGTAGGACCAACAAGTTCTCATTACGTTGTGTTTGCTGGGATGTGATGAAGAATGTTCCTGATGAAGAACGTTCCTGATGAGGAAAAGTTCCTGATGAGGAAAAGTTCCTGATGAGGAAATGTTACAGATGAGGAAATGTTCCTGAAGAGGAAATGTTTCTGAAGAGGAAATGTTCCTGATGAGGAAATGTTCCTGATGAAAAACATTCCTGATGAGGAAATGTTCCTGATGAAAAACATTCCTGATGAAGAACGTTCCTGATGAGGAAATGTTCCTGATGAGGAAAAGTTCCTGATGAGGAAATGTTCCTGATGATGAAATGTTCCTGATGAGGAAATGTTCCTGATGAGGAAATGTTCCTGATGAAAAACATTCCTGATGAAGAACTTTCCTGATGAGGAAACGTTCCTGATGATGAAATGTTCCTAATGAGGAAATGTTCCTGATGAGGAAATGTTCCTGATGAGGGAATGTT